TTTTACTGCTTGATGAAGCATTTCTTCACCTTGGTGCATTATCTGTGTCCTCTTCCAAAGTATGTGACTATTTAGGCATGCTCAGTTAACAGCTGGCTTGTGATCTGTGTTGCAGTTCGTTGTTACTAGATATTGCATATTGATTTCTTAACCTATTTTGAGAGACATCTTATTAAAATATTGTATGTCTTCTAGTTAGGAAAATAGTTATTAGCAGTACTGGGGTATAGCTCTGGTAGAGTGCTTGTCTGGAATGCCTGAGGCCCTGGGTCCCATGCCCAGTTAGCAGTATTTGCACTGTTATTAGAAATAAACATAGAAGACTATGGCTGGTAGAGCCTGTATGGTGGTCCATACCTATGATAACAAAGTTTGCGAGACTGAGACAGGAGGATCACAAGTTCAGGTCTTTGCACTTGAACAGGATAGCAAAATCCTGTCTTAAAATAAAAAAAGGGCTGGGCTATAGCTTAGTGGTAGAGCATCCCTAGATTTGATTTGCAGTGCAGGGGTCATGGAGCAGGCAGACAGAGTCAGACACAAAACTGATCGATAACTCTGCCCAAAATTTAAGTGCACATGTATTATAGGTATGTAGGCTGTTTCAGAGTATTATCTTAAAGATTGATACCTGAGATACATAAAGGAATAGTCACAAAATTGGGAAACAGTTCATATTAGTGTGCTTGTACACCTCTGAATTGTATTAGGATAAAACGGCAAGATGAGAAGAACAAAAAATAAGAAATTCATATTTGGGCTGGGGATTTAGCTCAGCGGCATGGCACCTGCCTGGCAAGTGCAAGGTCATGAGTTTGATCCCCAGTACTAGAAAAACAAACAAACAACAAAAAAAAAAAAAAAAGAAAAGAAATTCAAATTCATATCCAGTGATGGTAACACATGCTTGTGATCCCAGCTCCCTTGGAAGGCTGAGGCAGAAAGATTGCAAGTTTAAGGTCAGCCTGGGCAACATAACAACAACCGATCTCAGAGGGGAAAAAAAAAGAAAATTAGAATTCATTTCTGAGAAATTATATTGGAATACTCTGGGTGGAGCTGTACATAGTAAAATATCCCACCTTTGCTGCTTTTGAATGTGTTCTGAGCCAGGGATATAGCTCAGTGTGGCACAGCTCCTGTCTGGCAAGCTCAAGGTCCCAAGTTTGATTCCCGATACCAAAAAAAAAGATAATAAAAGTTTGACTATGTTCTGAATTTTTTTTCTCTGCATAGTAGCCTGTAGTCAAATATAAGATTAATTGGTATCTAGATCATTCTGGATTCTTCCTCTTCCTCAAATTCAATTTTTAAATTTTTTTTCTATTTTTTTAGTACCAGGAATTGAACTCAGGACCTCATGCTTGCCAGGCAGGTGCTGTGCCTCTGCACTATACCCCCGCCCCCATCCTCCTTTTTTTTTTTGTTGAGACAGGGTCTCACTGTGTAGTTCAGGTTAGCCTTGGACTCATTGTGTAGCCTAGGCTGGCCTTGAACTCACTGTGATCCACCTGTCTCAGCCTCCCAGGTACTGGGATTACAGGTATGCACCACCATCCCTGGCTTCAAATTCTAATTTTTACAGACTTCTATGTTTGCACAATATAGTTTGTTATATTACACACAAAAGTCTGTGACGGATTCCCAAAAACAATTTCAAGTGGACTATTAAAAATATTCTATTTGGAAATAATTAGAATGGATTTAATTGCCTGGGCCATTTAGGATATTGTGATTGATAATATTCCCTTTATGTACCACTGTTTTAGTATTGACCCAGTAAAGATTTTAGTTCCTGTTTTTGTACTTACAATAAATTGCTGAGCTAATCCAATGCATGTTTATGCCCTTAAGATATTCAGTGCAGGAGTATACAGGAGTTTTGGTTGTCCTATATGTGCTGTGTGTGACTTCACACGCACAGTTCTTCGTGTAACTCATTATAAACATGGGAAAATTTTCTACTCTGGATTAAGAATCATCTCTGCTGATACCCAAGCCCAGACATGCTGGTTGGCCGTCATACCTGTGTGGAGGGCTTGCCAGCTGATAGATAGGGGGAGAGGGAGAGGGAGAGGCCTTGAGCACTTCTGAGCTGGAATTTTCCAAAGAACCTGCAAGCTCTGACAAGCTGCAAATGATTAATTAGGGTTATATCCCAGCGTTATTATTTCCTCTGTTCCCAAGAGATATCGCTGAATTAAATGATCTTCGTCCACAGAGAGTAGGAGTATTTGGGGATTCTGATGTATCACCAGATTAAAAAAACCTTTCTACACACAACCCCACCCACTTTTTGACTCTGTAATACTCATTTCTGGTAAGTCTTAAGGAAAATAACCTAAATAGAGCAAAAAATGTTTTTTTTTTTTCTTTTCTTAAGACATTATCTCATTATGTAGCCCAAGCTGGTCTCAAACTCGCGGTAATTTTTCCTCAGCCTGCTGAGCGTTAGGAATATAGGCGTGTACCACCATGCCTGGCTAGAGAGAAAAATGTTATGAAGAGAGATGGTCATCTCTCTATTTATAAATACCAGTAAGTGGAGTGAACCAGGAATTAGAGGGTGGAATATAATGTAGCCATATAAAGTATTTCCATAATCTATGGAAAAATTTCTATACCGAGTTATGTCAAAAGTATACATCCTGTGTGTGAAGCTATGTAAGAAAATACATAGAGCTAGGCATGGTGGCACATGCCTGTAATCCTATCACTCTGTAAGGCTGAAGCAGGAGGATTCTAAATTTGAGCCCCAACCTAGGGAACTCAGCAATTTAGGGAGAGGCTGCCTCAAAATAAAGAATAAAAAAGGGCTAGGGATGTAACTCAGTGCCGAGGCCCTGGGTTTGGTCCCCAGTACCACAGTCTCCCCCAAAAGAATGTAAAAGGAAACTTGCTGCTCTGCCTTATTTTCTATATATTTTCTAATGATTGTGCGTTACCTTTTTTTATAATTGAAATGAAAGTAAACTTTAAAAAGAAAAGCTGTGCAATATTATAATTTAATTCTACAACAATATTTTATGATTTATTGATTTATTGATTGTCTTTTTTGAGATAGGATCTCGCTATGCAGTTCAGGCTGGCTGGGAGCTCACTTGATAGCTGAGGCTGGCCTCAGACAGTGATCCTCCCCTCAGCCTCCCAAGTACTGGGATCACAGGCATGCACCACCACGCCTGGCTGTATGAGTAATTTTATTTTATTTTATTTTATTTTTATGTTTTTGGTTTTTTTCCGGTACCGGGAGCTGAACTCACGACCTTGCGCTTGCCAGGCAGGTGCTGTGTCGCTGAGGTAATCCCCAGCCCTATGAGTAATTTTAAAATAATTAAGTTTTTAAATGTGGAAGAGGTGTTCTTGAGTTTAAAGATTAGGGCACAGTTTTATAAAATGTACTGAGCCCTGAAGTAACAAATGTCAGTCAGTTTTTGATACTTAGGAAATATGTTTAAGATCGCACTAATCTGTATTCAGGTGATGTCATTTAGCTGAGCAATGATATGCCATCTATTTACAGCCTGGTAGTGCAACTTGTAAATGGTCATGGAGGCTTGGGAGGCTTGCTCTGGGGGCGCAGGCCTGTAATCCCAGCACTCGGGAGGCTGGGGCAGGAAGATCACTGTGAGTTTGAGGCCAGTTTGGGCTACATAGTGAGTTCATGGCCAACCTGAACTACCTAGTGAGACCCTTTCTTAAAAAGCAGAAAGAAGGGGGAAGTAGGTAGTCGTGGTAAAGACATAAAACAGTTTTCTAAGTAGCTTTCAGTGTCTTCTATGACATTGATGGGGTCACTGAAATGTACGTTTGGAGTAAACAGTTGCCTTAAGTTTTAAACTGACTGTAGTTTGAGCACACATCTATGCTGTATTATAATATATAAATATGTAACCCCGTTTTGCCTACTGACGGAAAAAGCTGGGGGAAAATAATAATTACTGTCTTAAAATGCAGAAGAAAGTTAAGCCACAAAAACTGTCAGAATACATAGCCAGGTGCAGCAGTGTGTGCCTGTGTACCAGCATTTGGAAGACTGAGACAGAAGAATTGTGAGTTCAAGGCCAGCCTAGACTACATAGTGAGGCACTGTCTCTAAAACAAAATTTTATTTAATGAATGATAGTACTTTCCTAAAAGCCAACAAAGGGAACTATGTGAAACAGATGCCCCTATTTGAAGCATATTTATGAGAAATCTTTTGACTGATTTTAATATGATTATGGCTAGCTTTGATCCTGATCCTTTTCTCCCCCTAAGTTGAATAATAAATACAAAAATAGGGGCTGAGGATCTAGCTCAGTGGCACAAGTGCCTGCCTGGCAAGTGCAAGGTCCTGAGTTTGATTCCCAGCACCAAAAAAAAAGGAAAAATTTAAAATAAAAGATAGGATGATAGGATCTGGGTTCAGTACCAAGTACCACCCACAAAAGGCAGGCAGAGCTGAAGCAGAAGCCCTGATGTGCTTTGAGCCTGCGTTCCACTTTGGATACTTTGTTCCTCTTACCACACGCCCTTGGTGGTCTATGAGTTTGAGATGTTGGAGTCAGTTTTTCACAGTTACTGTACTTTTAAGAGAGTGGTTATAAGCATCTGTAAACTTCATAACTAGTAATCACTAATCCATTTCAGGTGACTACTTAGCGTTATCACATCTATCAGTACTGCTATGGTACCGGTTTTGAGGACTTCTTGCATTGTTTCAGATATGCCAAGAGCAGCCTCAGGGACGTGCTGTGTAGAGAACGTATGTAACAGCTTAGGATTTCTTGTCTGGTGTGTGAGCGTTTAAGAGTAGATATAGGTAGGGGTTTTTGTGGTTTGTTTTTTTTTTAAGTTAGGCAATCTGCCATAGGATACATTTATTTTAAATACAGAAAGCATGAGACCCATCATCTAGGGAGGCAACGCCACAGATGTGCGGGATGTTTAATGCAGAGATGCTATTTTGAGTCCCTCTCTTTGCTGTGAACTCCAAACTGTGTGCACGTGGATAAAAGGTTAAGAGCCCAGGTAGCTGAATGGGGTGCCGTGCTGTTAGCAGACGACGAAGGCAGCGTCACTCACCAGGTGCACGCGGTCAGCTCTGTGGAGGATTCCATCTTCATGGAGTCATCTCGTGGTCCGCTTTTTCTTGAAGCCAGGTAACATTTCCCACCACCAGTGGGGTGGCCCTGTTGGAGTTTTTCCAACTAGAAAAACTCAAACCTAAATATTCTCTTCCCTTTTTTAAAGAATAAAACATTGTTTGTTGGAAGAACTAACTTGCAAGACAGAATGACCTGTTACTACTTTGTTTTGTAAGAAGGAGTGTTCTGTTTTGTTCCGTTTTTTAATAGCAACTGGTGAGGGTGAGGAGTTGGAGTGCTGTGTTGCTTGGCCATGATGATAAGCATGGGGCACTAGCTTGTGCCGTAGACTTCTGTTTCTAGGGAGGCACAGGCTGCGTTTTGTGATAACTAATCTTACCCTTGTGTGACGGTTACTGAAGTAGCTTTGTACAAATTGAATTCTTGGCTTTTAACTCTTTCGCATACGTCAGTGTCTTGGTCTTTTAACGATGTCTGACTTTTGCTTCCAAGCTGTTTGTGTAACTTGGTTGTAAATAGCCTAACCTACACAGGCTTTCTGAGCTCTTAATTCTGAATCCACCTCAATTGTGTTCACTTAACTAAGACTGCAGTGACACTTGAATAAAATGTTCCAGCCTTTGCTTAAAGCTTAAAGCTTCATGGTAAGCTGTCATACTTGAGACTCTTGAGGGTGCTTAGCAGTGTTATTAACTGAGCATGCTCACAAACTCAGTTTGTGGTACAGGCTGTCCCTGTTTTTGTCATGCATTATATGGCTTCTTTTATGTCATTACTTTCAGTCCATCCTGTTACGTGTATGTCCTTTATTTGGTCCGGTTATCACTGCCTGTCTAACATCAGGATTGTTGTTGTTTTTCTCTCTCTCTTTAATTAGTCATAACCAAGTTAATGAAAGCTGGTAAATCTTCCCCTGCCCCTTGGGGCTTTTTTGTGTGTGGGGGTGAATTTCTGTGGGGCTCACTGTTCCCAAAGTTGACCTTAATCGTTGCTCTTAAAAAGTATTGTCACTTGTCACTTAACTGCTTACAAGATAGCTTTTGATTCCTGGGACAAAAGATTGTACCTTATTTATAGTCCCTGAACATGACCCTCAAAATTGTGAGAATCCAGGCTTAATTCTGATTTTGAAGGACCGTCATAGTATTAAAAAGTGGTGGATTGATTTATCTTTCATTGCCCATGCAAAGAAAATTATAAATTTTTAGATGTCACCTCCCAAGTAGCAGCTAATTATGAAAACATTTGTCTTTACTGATGTCTACAGTGTGTCATTTTAAGATAATGCTTATCTGAACAATGTGTACATGGCTGTCTTGATAAATGTTTTTGTATGCAATTAGCCTGACAAGTGCGCTAATACTTCCCTACAAATAGGACATTATTTGACTGGCATAAAGTTTTCCTACTAATCATGTTTTAAATATTAATTCTATTTTCTGACTACAGGCATGTGACACAAGCTGACCTCAAGAGTTCCACGTTTTGGCTTCGAGCAAGTTTTGGTGCTACTGTTTTTGCAGTTTTGGGCTTTGCCATGTACAAAGCGTTATTGAAACAGCGATGATTAAAAAACAAAAAAACTACTGGCCCTACCAAAAACAAATACTTTTATGTACATTCTGAATGCTTTAAATTCTGCTAGAATATTGAGATATTTATACATGCAGAGTTACTTTATTAATATTTGTAATTCATGCATAAGAGTATTTTAATGATAGTAATAACTGCAGTATTGGCTAGTGTATGGAAAGGAAACAGCTTAATAGCCAAATAAAAATGGCTACATTTCAGAGGCCAAAAGGGAATATTTTGTAAATAATGTATATATTCAGACAAGATGTGGTCTCCCAAACTGAGCTCCAGAAAGTGATGTTTCTAGACATTTCTACGTGGTATTGTTAGTGCTCACTTGGCTCACTCTCCTAGACTTACGTCAGCCCAGAGATTGTATTTGCTCACGGACCACTTATTTATTTCACTTTTACTCAGATTGATTCTTTGGGTTCTGTAAGTACACAAGGCACACTTTGCCGTTTTCTCTCCATTTTTAAAAACCCACACGAGTCAGTGTCAGATGACCAACACAGCTTTGTTTCTGTCACTTACCGTAGGCCAACCTTGAAGCTATCATGCAGTGTAGAAAATTATGTAGCTGAGTGCCCAGCTCTCCTTTAAGGAAGAAACAGAGTAAAAGCAATTAGCAGCCATGTCATCTATGTGATTATGTTCCTGCCTCTGTCCGTAGGTGGAATTTTATAGCCCTTTCAGTCAATTAAGGAGAACAATTTATATATTATCAATGTTTTTAGTTTAAATAAACAAGTCACCCTAACTACTGTTGAATTTCCTCCCAACTTGTAAAATCGTTCTATAATGGCTGTGTCTGTTACAGCATTACAGTAGCTGCATGTGTCATGAAGTGTTCTCTATCTGGCTAGGGTAACCTAGAGGCAGCACTTTTTTTAAATGGTAAAATAAATCTAAGGAATATAAACTGTCACGATAAACCTATTTTTTCCATCATTGACCTTTTCAAGTATTTAAATAAATAACTGGTGTGTACTGTGATTTTGAGTTTTTTTTGTCTTACAAAGTAAATGTTTCTACACAGATGTGAGTCAGGTCCTGTGCTTTGTGTAACTAGTTTGAAAATTATTTTTTATACGGAAGGACAATACTCATTAGGGAAGAAGTCAAGTATGATTTATGCACGTAAGGAGAAACCTATTCGAAAGTTGTGAGGAAATCTATTCCTAGGCAGGTTGTTTTTCCTGACACACCTAACTGCTGTGCTTCCCACTGCGGTTTTTACATGTTTATTTTCTCCGTGAGCGTGGTTTTTTCTCTTGCCTTTCTGAGAGACATTTTCTCACAAGGTCCTGCTGCTTGAATGGCTAGTAACTGTGTAGCTTACTAGCTGTGGGAGTGTAGAATAGACAGCTATATTTACTTTCATACCTTTTTGTCTTCATTCTAAATTTGAGGAAAAGGAGCCCAAGGCAAAAATCTGACGACTTCGTTTGTATTATTTTTTGAAAATTTCCCATGTACTAAGTAAACTTATGTCAGTTACGCAGCTTTCAGTGAGTTAATTCTTTCCTTCCAAGTTTTTTTTTTTCTATTCTGACTGAACTACTGTGTTAAATTAATTGCTTCATACATTATTTTGTTTGAGAGAAACAGAGGAAAGAAGTTTGCCAAGAGGTGAAAGAAGAGTGAATTTATATGTTTAGATTTTTCCTCCATCTTCTCATTTGATGCCGAGTGTCTGTGAGTGACAGCAGGCGGAGCGGCAGCGGCCCGGCTCACACCTGCTCGCGGCGGCTTTTCCCCTGGTCCAGCCTCCTGCTCCCTGTCCTCAGCCCACGGCACCCGGGTGCTTGCTCACTATCGCGTCTCTGCCCTGTGGCCCTGCAGGTGCCCGTCCTCAGCTTCACATCCATTTTAAAGACTAGCTGATATGGGAGAAGTACAGTAAGGAGCTTCTTTGGCTTTTACTGTTTGCTAAGAAGATGCAAACTGTAACAGTACTGAGAGGATGTGAGAGCGATCTGCCTGTGACAGCTGTCACTGCCGAGTCAGCTAATATGGCTGGCTGGGCCGCTGTCCCCTTCCCTGTTCCTGGGCCGTGTGCATTCTTCCCGAAGGTGCGCACTCCTTCAAGGAGGACAGCCTGCCCTGAGAGAGGACCAACTACCGTTCCCTCGGTCAAGGGTTTACGAGTAGCAGGGCTCCCCTGCCAGAACCTCCAGACAGACTCTCAGGAGTGCAGAGGGAAAATGAGGAAGGTTGGAACTTAGTGATCGAGAGGAAATCTCTCATTTTTTCCCAGTTGCATTATCTTACAAATGGACAGTCCTGCGGCTGTGAGGCTCTAATGAATAGCAGGCAGCTTTGTGAAGAAGCGTCACCCTGAAGCGTGCAGGCCGCTGACATGGCGGAGTGTCCTTAGTGTAAAAGCAAGCTCCGCTGCTTTTTGCCATTTTATGCTCTTCTTCTGTCGCATCGGACCAAAAATAAGCAATTGTCCACATTATTGGTGCCAGTGAATTTCAGAACAGAGTAGGCTGTGATGTTAGGTGTTTGGGGAGCGCGTGACCATTTGGAGATGGTCAGTAAACGAAGTGGGAGGGCTGGCTGCCTGCGTGTGTATATGTGCACATCACCTGCCGGGGGAAGGCGGCGAGGAAGAAATACACTGAGGAGCCAGCCTCGAGTAAAGCGAGAGCTTTCCTGACCTGAGGGAAGACTGCGGAGCAACGAGCAACAACGAGTAAACCGAGGTGAGTGCTCAGGCTCTGTGGCGGAGCGTGAATCTTCCCCAGATGGGCCCTCCGGCTACAGCGGGCGTTAGCTCTGAAGTCCCGCTTGTCTGACTCGTACCAGTGAAAGTCAGCATAAAGATGTCTTTAAAATATATAGTTCTTGATGTGTATCTGGAGGGTTGAGTCAAAACCCCAGAGAAATACAAGTCTTCAGATGCTGCAGGTCCACAGGTAAGAAGAAAGCCAGTGCAGGTCCCATACCGACGCAGCATCTCAGATGTGACTGCAGGATGCTGAGGAGGCGTGAGGCGAGTGGGGCCGAGGATGAGTGTGGGAAGGACAGGCGCTATGGCACGGCAGAGGGTGGGCCCGCACATCTCTCCCTGTGGCATCGCCGGAGTACCCACTGTGTGGCAAGTTCAGATTTTGCTTTTGGGACGCACAACTGTAATCCCAGCACTCGGGAAGCTGAGGCAGGAGGATCGTTGTGAGTTCAAGACCCGCCTGGGCTGCAAAGTGAGCTCATGGCCAGCCTGAACTGCACAGCAAGACCCTGTCTCAAAAAGACAAAAATAAATAAATAAATAAATAAATAAATAAAAGTTCGTAGAGTTCAGTGATAGAGTGAATGGTGAGCATGCATGAGGCCATGAGTTAAATTCCCAGCATAAAAAATAAATAGCTATGGATAGCAAGGCACACCTCTAATTCCTGTACTCCAGAAAGCTGAGGCAGGAGGATTGCAGGGCAGGAGCATTGCAAGTGCAGGCCTCAGTACTGCAAAATGGATGCATGGAGTGACCTAGTTCTAGTTAACATACTTAGTGGGCATTGTACTTTAATTCTTAACAGTCTGTGTGTGTTTTTGTTTTGTGTACCAGGAATCGAACTCAGGACCTTGCACTTGCCAAGCAGGCACTGTGCCACTGAGCTATATCCTTGACCCAACAGTCTGTATTTTTAAGAAATTGATTTGGAACTACTTTTTAAAATAATGCCACACATCAAGATGCTAAATTTAATTTTCACAGTGTGAGAATGCTCCATATAGGGAACCTGGCCATTCAGATACCTTGGTCTCCGGATTCACAGTACAGTAACCCATTTTTTAAAACCCCTAAGGTTGCGGGTAGTTCTTTTAACTCTGTCAAAAGTCCCTGTCGGTGACAGTGGGTGTCTGTTAACCTACTTGGCCCTCAGCTCCGCGAAGGCCTCTGTCTGACCTGTGAGCATCACAGTGGTGCTCCTCAGAGTTCTCTAGTGTGTCCCGACTCAGAAATTGGTCCCCTGCTCCCATGACACACTCAAGACTCATCAGACCATTTGCCCCAGTTATTTCACGCTCAGAAAATATAAACACCTTACTAGAAGGTGAGATTTTGACAACATTGGGAGACACTGCCTAAGTTCATAGTGCTGTTCCAGTTCCTAGCTTTTTCTGGTAGTAGTGCTGTATTTCCTCTGCACGTTTTGTCTCTGCGTTTATTGCAGGCCAGTAGAGGTCCAGTATTGAAAATGAGAGATGTATTCTTTCTGAGTTGGCAACTGCATGTTGGCTGTGTATACACAAGGAAGTATCACCAGTACTATCTTTACACATTCAGAATTCCAAATTCTACCCAAGGGCAGTGGCACACACTTCCCACCACCTTGGGAGGCTGAGGCAGGAGGATCGAAAGTTTCAATCCCACCTGGGCAGCTTTCTTTTTGGTCCTGGGAATTGAACTTATGACCTCAGGCTTGCCAGGCAAGCGCTTACGCCGCTGAGCTATATCCCTGGCCCTCTACCTGGGCAACTTAGTAAGGCCGTGTCTCAAAGACTGAAGAAAGAGCTGGGATGTAGTTCAGTGCAAAGACCATGGGTTCAGGCCTCAGTTACACACACAGAGGCACACTTACACATGCACACACACCCGAATTGTGCAAGACCATTGCTTTTTGGCATTTCCGTATTCAAAAGCTTACATTTGTGGTTTTTGTTTTGTAGTACTCGGGGCCAAACCCGAGGCCTTCATTCTGAGCTACATCCCTTTCCTGCTTTGAGGCAGGGCCTTGCTAAATGGCCAAGGCAGGATTCAAATTCACATTCCTCCTGTCTCAGCCTCCCAGAGTGCTAGAATTACAAGCGTGTGCCACTATTCTTAGCTACGTTCACATTGTACAATCAAATAAGCAGGCAGTTTTTGTTATTGGAATGGTATGAATATATACACTGTATATATTCACAAGTTGCAAACTTTTCCTGTAAAAGCCCAGATAGTAAATATCTGAGATTTTCACAGCTACTCAACTCTTGTAACATAAAGACAGCTGTTGGACAATACGTAAATGAATATGGCTGCATTCTAACAGGAGTTTGTGCATGCTGAGCTTTGAATTTCATGTAAGTTTCCCATGCCTCAGGATTTATTTTTTCTGACTTTTTAAGAAAATTTTATTGGAGAAAAGGAATGCAGAATAGGATTAGGGGAATAGGCAATCGGAATAGCTCCTGAGGGACAGAAAGGGTCTCAAATGGGTTCCCTTCTGATTTTTCTTAGCCACTAAAAAAAATAGAAACCATTCAGAGCTCATGGGCCCGGATCCGATCATCCCCTGGTATAAGCGAGGGCAACACGCTCTGCAGTGTTTACTGGTGATAATTGCCGACTGTCCTGGGTTTGAAGGTGTGGAGTGGTACTGGGGCGTGCAAAGCTGGTAGTCATGTTTTGTTCAATGGCAACTAAACTAAGATTGGGGCTGGAGGAGGTGACTGATCTCCGCCGTTCCCTGTCATTTGCAGTGGGGTGCTCCGGCCAGGCTGGGTTAAGCTCGGAGGGCGGTTGGAGGCCCGAGGGAAAGGGAGCACTTACCAGGAGCCCTTCTTTTGGTGCTGTATCCGTGTCTGTTTTCAATACCCAGTTGCGTGATCGGCACCCACAGGACAGTCCCATGGAAGTGTTGTAGTTTGAGCCCTAGTTATCTGGGAAATTTACCGCCCCCCCCCATACATGACCGTGTGACAATGTTTATTTCTTTAGGTTTTTTAAAGTCAAAGTAGACAAAGTGCATCCATCCAACTCCATATTTTTATAGCATACACTGAGCACAAAATGTGTAAATGACTAACCAGAGCCCCACTGTCCCTGAGGCATCCTGATTCCCTGTCATTGTATGAGCCAACCATTAAGCACAGGGCTTTTTCTGCCTTTAATCAACTTGCAGTATATTTGTATAAAAAGCCAGACCAGGACTAGGGCTGTAGCTCAGTGGTAAATGCTCGTCCTGCATGCATGAGGCCCTGGGTTCAATTCCCAGTGCAAT